TCTATAGTACTTCGTTTTGATTATTTCCTTTGAAAGTATTTATTATGCTATTCAAAGTTGATCAGGTTTTCCGGTTTAGATCGGTACCCGCGGTATCTGGCAATAATTATTTTCGAACCAGTATAGGTTGTAATTGCAGCCATTTCTCTCCATAACTGAAGCCACTGTTCTCGAGAATTCTAGGTGCTGCTCTTTAGTTGTTCAGCTGTTCGCAAAGGTGGATTTCTCGACTTCAGTCTATTGACCTGTAAAGTAGGAAGTGTGTCATGAACAGGGAGCGTTGTGGTAGCTATTACTTTATCAAATTCTCTGAGAAGAGCCTTGTTTCTGCGTAGATTTGGAGGTAGAATGTTACTCAGAACTGGAAACAGGTGTGGATCTGATTGTCCCTGTAATCAGCCGCATGCTGTTGTTCAGCTGTCTGTCTATGAGATGTGTGTGGTGGCTGTTCAACTACACTGGTGCACAATACTCTGCCACACTGAATACCAGACCAATGGCGGAGATTCGAAGTGTTGTTGCTTTTGCAACCCAAGAAGTACCACAAAGTTTTTGTATAATGTTGTTTCGTGTTCTGATTTTACCAGCAACATTTTCTAGGTGTTTTTGAAATGAGAGTATACGGTCTAGAGTAATGTCCAGATATTTTGGATAGTTGTTATTACACAGAGTAGAGTTACCAAACTGGACGCTTATTTCAGTATTCGCCAGCTTGTTATTAAGATGAAAGGTAGCCACTTCTGTTTTATTTGCACTGGGTTGAAGTCTCCATTTTATAAAATAGGCATTCAAGGATGCGAGATCCTTTGTCAGCGTTTCTTGGGTTTGATTTTTCTTAATACATCTGGACGACGGATATTCAGATATCAGATACACGGTAAAAAATCTGTGAATTTTAGTGTAGATATTCAAGGAACCCTATTTACTGCCAGTCAGTATCTTGTATGTTTTTAATAAAAACATACAAGTTAATGAGTTTGCTATTTAGAACAATTTAAATTCCGCAAAATATCTCGGCGGTTGTGAATAATTAGAGAGGAAATGGAAAATTAGAGGAAATGTACAATATAATTATCAAGGGCATGGCATAAAAGTATTCATGGTTCCTCGAGCAATATGTTGAAATAAATCGGATAGTAATAATAATTAATGAAATATTTTAGTTACAATACTGGTATTATATTTGTACTGACGATAGCATAAAAAATATATCATATACTTACACTCATTAGTAAACAGTGACCCAGTGCCAGTGTTACGATCAAATTTATAATTGTTTGAGATTGTCCAATATTTTCAGAGATGTACAGGGTGTCTCACTAAGAATAGCTCTCGGCTGTATCTCGGAGAGTATTAGTCGTAGAGCTTGCGGAAAAAAAATATTTATAACTAACGAGACCATGAGAAATTACTGGAAATTATTTTCAAGTTCGTAGGACGGCCGCTAGAGGGCGTAATTGCTGTGGAAAATAATAAAATAGAATTTTTAAGAAATTTTGACTAGATACGATGTATATAAATAATAGCTTCATAATCTTCTGTAAATTTTGGATCTTTTTTGTAAAAACAATTTTCCCCTATCTGCTAAAATAAAGTGGTGGGGGAAGGTTAGATCTGTTTTTATTTAAATATTAATAACTCCGGACTGGATGATCGGAATTCAACAAACGAGGGCTCGTTTAAAAGAGCGTTTCTTACTCTATATTGTACCATATAAACAATTATAATAAGCTTTTGAACGTAGACGCCAGAGGGCGTTCTCTTACAATTTAACAAACATTGCACGTTTTTTCAAAAAAATTAAATGCCATAGTATATATAATTTTAGCTGATAGTAAAGAGTACTAAAAGTTTAACAATTCAGCGAAAACCACATCTTGATATCTTTTTTCAAACCAAAGTTATTAGCAAAATTATAGTAAATACGAAAATTATATTTGTGGTCTGGTTTCTCTAACTAAATGAGGATTTTCCTTTATAATAACGTGAATTTTTTTCTCTTAAATGTACGAGAATTTGTAAATAAAGATTCATCCGTCCATAATATTTTTTTAGAAAAAAGGGGGCTTTTTTGAACACTTTCCCGAAACCAATTGCAAAATTCTAATCTTCTCTCGTGATCACCAGCATGTAAATTTGGTACACATTTAAATTTAAAGTTGTGATATTTATGTTTTTAATAATTTTCCCTACATAAGAATCACTTATAAAACACTCGCGATTTATTTTACGTCGAGAAGTTTGCGGATTTATTTCAATTTGAATTAATATCATTAAGCTTTTTAAAATATTGCCCTTTTGTTCTTTAAAGCTACCTGCAACTTCTAAATTTCTTGAAATCCTTGTGAGAATAGTACGATGGGGCTGTGTCTTTTTAGGATACAATGTTCTATAACTTGCGGATGCCACATCGTAATTTCTATTATTTCTTAAGTAAACATCATACATATCTCGTGTTTCCTCACTTGTGAATATATTGTTGACTGTTAATACACTTTACACTATCTACTATAAATTTTTGTGTGTCCAGATTTGACACTTAATAGAGTAAACAAAAATTAACTTGCTGTCATATAAAATGTTAATTAGATATCCAAGGCAGACTTGATCTTAGGCGAATTTTTAAAAAATCGACTTTTTTAGTGAATTTACATAATAATGAATAAAAATTAGAAACCACGGTATAGACTTTTGTTCGCCCTATCTAATAGTATAAAAATTCAAAAAATGTGGGCATAAGAAAATAAAAACTTGACTGGTTAAATTGGAAGGTTTAAGTTTTAATTTTATAATATTTATAGATGAAACATTTGTATCACTCTGTATATGTATGAAAATATTTTTAAATTGGAGTGAAAATTTCAAATGGGAAACCTGATATAGAGTTTTTAGGAACACTGGGTCACGCTGTAGTGATAATAATTATCATTATACGCATAGATACTTTATTTCATAATGGTATCTAGTATATTCTTGATTTATTAAACAAAATTCTATTTAATAACTGTATATTATAAATATGATGTTTTGAAAACTTAACGTTGCGATATTGTTACTAAATATACAGGGTGGTCCGACCTGTATTCCGGAAACTTCGGCAGCATATTCTGCAGATAAAAGTAAGTAAAAAAGTTCGTATCGAAATGCATAGTTTTGGAGATACAGGGTGTAGAAGTTTCATTTTTATTTCGATTTTTTCCAAATAATTTATAGTAAGTAATGTAAATATTTGGATGAAAATTGGTGTCTGGGAGTTTTTTGACATGAGAAATTTGATTTTGTTGTCAGTATGACTCCTACTTATAGAGGGCGCCACCAACATATTTTTTAACCGGTTTGAAGAGTAATAACTTTTCGTCCGTACCTGTATAAAACTACTGAGTAAAAATATATATTTACGATATTTTTTACGTAAAAATGGTCTCTAGGTAAAAATGTACTACTGCTACGAGTAATGGTTCTCGAGATATTTGGAATCGACATTATCAATACCCGTCATCATTGACATAAATTAAACATATTCACTAAATAGTTATTAGACTGAAATAATAAATTTGAAGTGTTTTTGTGCCAAAAGTTCAACAGAAATTTTTTCTTCTCATTTTTTTGCAGAAAAATTTATGATTTTTGCAGAAAAATAAAAATTTCCCAAATTTGTTATTTCAGTCAAATAACTATCTACTCAACGTGTTTATTTTATGTCAATAATGACAGGTACTGACTATTTCAATTATCTACTAAACTATAAATATCTTGAGAACGCTTGCTCGTAGCGATTTTTCCCAAGAGACATTTATTACGTAAAAAGTCATGGAAAAGTATATTTTTGCACATAGTAGTTTTATACAGGTACGGACGAAAAGTGATTATTCTTCAAAACAGTTAAAACACATGTAGGTGACACTCCCTGCAAATAGGGGTCATATTGACATCAAAATCAAATTTCCCATGTCAAAAAACACCCAGACACCAATTTTATCCAAATATTGACGTTACTTCATACATTATTTGAAAAAAATCCAATTAAAAATGAAATTTTTACACCCTGTATCTCCGAAACGAAGTATTTTAGGAAATACATTTATACAAACTTTTTTAATTATTTTATCTGCAGAACATACTGCCGAAGTTTCCGGAATACAGTTCGGACCACCCTGTATATTATTAATTATTTTAAAAGCTAACTTGATATGATTTAAATAGAAAAAAATAGTGTTTTGCTTTTTCTCTTAACTTTCTTAAATGGATTAGACGAATATAATAATATACTAGATTACTAATAGAATAGTGCTCTTACACATACTTCTTTGACATAAACTTACCTTCAAAAAACTTAAAATACACAGAAATTAAAACTAAAACACCGACACTTAATTTCATTTTTCTAAAGATGCATTCTTGGCTATTTTTCCACAAATTCAAGAATACACTGCCGAACGAAATTCACTAATAGTTTAAACAGCTGACTGAAATATTGTGAGAATGATTTTATGTTTAAAATTATATTTTCAAAACATAATTTATAAATATTTATACTAAAATTTGTGTTGGGATGGGGGTAGTTTTTACCCTTCCCATACTTTTTTCTGAATTTTTGTCAAATTCAAATGTTCAAGCACTTAGCAAAACAGAAACTCCCAAAATCTCATTCAAATCGGAATAACAGTTCTTAAAATACCTGAAAAATTGTATTTATTTTTTCGAAGTTTGATGCCCTCTAACGGACAAACGAAGCACTTTTGTATAGAGCTAAATTGTGTCCAATGAAATTATTTTGATTCCAAAAATACGTAGTAGTTCTATGTCCACGGAATAGCGGGACACCCTGTATATTATTAATTATATTTAAAGCGAACTTTCATTGACATGATTTAAACAGAAAAAATAGTGTTTTGATTTTTCTGGTAATTTTCTTAAATTGATTTGAAGAATATAATGATATTATACTAAATTACTAATTGAATAGTGTTCATATTAATACTTCTTTAACATAAACTTACCCTCAAAACACTTAAAATACACAGAAATTAAAACTAAAACACCGACACTTAGTTTCATTTTTCTAAAGATGCATTCTTGGCTATTTTTCCACAAATTTAACAATACACTGCCGAACTTAACAGCTGACTGAAATATTGTGAATAGATTTTTTGTTCTTTTAAAACATATACGTTTTAAAAGCCGGTTTAATCATTTTGATACTCTTCGCATCCAATGACCGGTAACATCAAAAACCGCGGTATTATTCCGCAGGATTCATATAACCGAGTGACCTGATCTAGTGGACTACTGCTACTATACACATAGGGAAGAGGCGAGTGAATGTCAGAAAATATGAATTCATGTCTTCGCCGGAGTGTTTGCTTCGCATTAGGCAGCGGTAGGCGAAGAAGCTAAATTCAATCCGATTGACCTACAAGTTTTGCTCTAGTAATAGTGGTAATTATTGGTATTTCGATTTTGGTTCTTGTTTTAACCGATCGGAATACGCTGTACAGGGTGGGTCAAATTGGACGTTTTTAAAGGGAAACACCCTTTTCTATAAGAGATAGACAAAAACTAATATCGGTACCTCAATTTTTATCAAAAATATGATGGTGAAAACCGCCCTACCATCGATATCTGTTACCGTTTCGGAATTCTGGGGTGTTTTTCAAAAATGTGGCTTTGGCTATGGAAAATTTTGTATTTTTATGAAAACATTTCCAAAGCACCTTTTTACGTAGAATTTATGGTTTAAGTATAATTTCTTTAAAATTAATAATTTAAGAATTATCAACCAAAAATTTGATTTTTTTATATGGGACACCCTGTATATTTTTAATTCATTGAAAAGAATTTAAAATTACCTTTCCAAAAATATAGCACACTTGATATTTTGTTATAATCCCCTTCGAAATACAGAATTTTTAAAAGTTCGCCATTTTTAACTAGTAGCACAGAATATCTACTACTAGCACAGAATGCGTAGCTATACATATACATATTCTGTGCTAGTAGGCTTTGGACCCCTTATTGATGATATGCCCCTAATGAAACTCGAAAACACATTTTTTCAGCAAGACGAGGAATCGCCTCAGAACGCTGAAGTTATCAGCTAATTTTTGCAGCTAATTTCAAGAATAATTGAATAGCTAACCAAGATCCCAGCCGTAGCCGGCGAGGCCCCCGGACTTGGGTGCATAATATGGATCTAATCCTGTGGATATATTTGCGGAAGAATAAAGGTTCTTATTTTTAAATTGCCCTATAATCTAGACAAGAATTAGAAATACTGAGTAGTTATGAGAGGGTATCTTTCACCCCCACTGAGTTAATGAATTCCGCGAGAATGGTATTTATTTTTATTGCTATTATTAAATCTATTACAGCCGGCGCCGTTCAAAGCCTACTTATTTAAAGTGGGCGAATTTTTATAAACTCTATATCTCGAAGAGGAATCGAGCAAAATATCAAGTGTGCGATATTTTTGGAAAGGTAATTTTAAATTCTTTTCAATAAATTAAAAATATACAAAAATCAAATTTTCTGTTGATAATTCTTAAATTATTAATTAAAAAAAATATATACTTAAACCATTAAATTCTACGTAAAAAGGTGCTTTGGATATGTTTTCATAAAAATATAAAATTTTCCATAGCAAAAAAGTTTTCTTGAAAAACACCCCGTAACTCGGAAACGGTAACAGAAGATATCGATATGCGGTTTTCACCATCATGTTTTTGACAAAAATTGAGTTCCAGACGCCGATATTAGTTTTCGTCTATTTCCTATAGAAAAGGGCTTTTCCCTTTAAAAGCGTCCAATTTGGCCCACCCTGTACATAATACTCAGTATTTTGGGTATTATTGTCTTTTATTGGGACAATAAAATTACGAGGTCTATTCGGATTAATCCCGTCTAAAAAATACCTTCTCTATATACAGGGTGTCCCAATATTCCGTGGACATAGAACTACTACGTATTTTTGGAATCAAACTAAGTTCATTGGACACAATTTACCTCTATACAAAAGTGCTTTGTTTGTCCGCTAGAGGGCACCCAACTTTAAAAAAATAAACACATTTTTTTACATATTTTAAGAACCGTTATTCCGATTTGAATGAGGTTTCAGATGACTATGGTTTGCTAAGTGCTTTAACATTTTACTTTCACAAAAATGAAGAAAAAATGCGAAGTGAAGAGAAGGGCGAAAACTGCCCCAACCCCTACATAAATTTTAGTGGAAATATTTTTCAACTCCACCGTTGACTGATTTTCTTTTCGTAAAATGGTCCCTCTAGTATTTAATACATTTTTTGTCTCTTGCAAAAACGTTACATCGCATAGTTTTTGAGAAAAACATTTTTGAAGTATTTATTTTTCCAAAGCAGACTTAGATACAGACAGAATATACAGGGAGTTCCAATATTCCGTGGACATAGAAGAGCAACGTATTTTTTGAATCAAAATAAGTTAATTGCACATAAATTGCCTTTATACAAAAGTGCTTCGTTTGTCTGTTAGAGGCGAGGGGTGTCTCACTATTGGAATTACATGTACATTTTCCTTGGCAGTCGCTGGCAGTCATTGGCAGTCGCTGGCAGCCATTGGCAGTCTTACGGCAGTCGCCTATAATAATTACATGGCAGTCATAGGCAGTCTTCTTCGTAGTCCTTGGCAGTCGCTTGGCAGTAAAATGATATTTTGGCAGTACTTGTACATTTTTGACCGAAGTGAGACAGCCCTCGGTTAGAGGGCATCAATAAAAAATAAACCCGAATGTTAATTATTTTTAAATTTATTAATTTTTTAAGCTTTTTATGAAGCTTATTGTTAAATATAATTTGTGATACCTCAAATTCCATATTTTGCTAACTAAATTATTAGAGCATAATAGATTTTATGCGCCTCCATAGCTTGATGTGACAAAAAGCATCTTTTGGAAATCAGCTTCGGAAAAATATTTTTTTTCCTCAAAAAGTATGCGCGGTGGTTTTTTTTAGAGAAAAAAAATGTAGTAAATACTAGAAGGACCATTTTACGAAAAAAAATCGGTCGTCCGTTGAGTTGGAAAATATTAATACTAAAATTTATGTAGGGGTGTAAGGGTTTTAACATATAAATATAAATTTTAGTGTAAATATTTTTAACTCCACCGATGACTGATTTTCTTTTTGTAAAATGGCCCCTCTAGTATTTAGTACATTTTTTGTCTCTTCTCTCGTCTGGTTTTAACATAGACACCCAAAATTTCAGTCAAGTCGGAATAACGGCCCTTGAAATATCTGAAAAAATGTGATGTCCTCTAACCTCTAACGAACAAACGAAACGCTTTTGTATAGAGGTAAATTGGTTAGGTTAGGTTAGGTTAGGTTTATAAACGAAGTTGTTCATTTATAGAAAAAATATTCAGATTTGTTTGATTAGCAAAATTGATCGGAAGTTTAGAGAAATTGGTCATGTACCGGGACATCATTTTTGAGTGTCTCACTCAATTTGTAATTTTCGTATTTTGTATTTAAAGATATTAAAAAAATATTTTAATGTAATTTTTCGCTAGGATGCCAATTTTCTACCTCAAAACTTGTTAATACGTTAATTTTGACTGATACCATGCCACCTTGATTTTTTCAAATGGAAACCCCCACATATTTTAGCATCTTCCGGTAAACATTTTTTAGCTAATTTCAAAAACATATAGTTTAGTATACTTTGCAGTTACCGTTTTCGATATACAGTGCCATTTAAAAATAAAATGTTCCAGAATCATTTTAAGCGCCTCAATAGTTTTTACGTGTAACGAATAGTTTTTCACGGGTAACAAATAGTTTTTTACGAAAATCAAATTATTACGTGTGTTTTTTACACGTAATAATTTGATTCACTTTTGTAAAATGTGTATCAACATATCAATATTTTTGAAAAACACGTGAACTGCTCATAAATATACGTCGCGTCACTACGTATTTTTAAACCATTCTACCACGTTCCGTTACAACTAGCTCGTGTGTCAGAACCGTCTCGCTAGCTAGTATGTCACGGCCTTGAATTATTAGAATTATAACACACAAGTAGAATGTAGAATGTTTAGGAGGGGAGTTAATCACCGCGACCTTATAGATCTATTGTGTGTTCCCCTTTCTTGAGTTATAACGAGTTATAACTCATCATACAGTCTCAGGGCTTTAAGAAAAGCCAGTATCTGAGACGGCTCCACAGAGGCCAGCTCTCCATCCTCGACATCAGACGTACCAAGGTTCATGGCACGAATGGTCGTCGTCTCGGCGCACTCAGTGATAAGGTGTTCTGGTGTTTTCCCATTTTCCCCACAAAATCTGCATTCGCCGTTGTTTCTCAGTTTCAGCCTACTGAGGTGTTCGTTGAGGAGACAGTGTCCTGTTAGAAACCCCGTGACAATCCGAAGATTGTTTTTACTTAAATCAAGGAAAACCTTTGATTTTTCTCGGTCATTTTCGAGTTTTTTTCGGTCGGAACTTTTTCGAGTGTCTTAGACCGTTGGAGGACACCCATTCCAAGTTACGGATGGAGTCTTCCAGATTCTTCAGTTCCGCTTTCAGTTGGTTGCCGTTTGGAAAACAGAACGGTTCTGGTCCAGTTAGTGGAGTGTTCGCTCCTTTTCTAGCTAGATCATTTGCTTTTTCATTGCCTTCTATCCCTTGGTGAGCAGGCACCCAGAGTAGGAGGACTTTATTTTCTTTGCCTAATTTGTTGAGCTTCTCCAGGCATTCTTTGACCAACTTCGAATTGATGGTTACTGAGTTGATCGCGTTAAGTGCTGCTTGATTATCGGATAGGATGGCAATTTCCTGTTTTCGATAGTTCCTATCTAAGATAAATTGTACGCATCTTTTGATAGCGCAAATTTCTGCCTGAAGGATAGTGATAAACACACAAGTAACCACAAAACATAAAAAATCTATAGACAAATAAACTAAAATTTGTAAAATAAATGGCAAATAATAATTATTATATTTACACACGCCACTGACACTAGCAGTAGATTGCATTTGTGTCGAATATTCGGCCCGTTCAACGATTGATCCCAGCATATCTTTTATCTTCATCTCTTCAACGCTAACCGCTCCGATCTCGCCTATCTCTTTCTCACAGGATTGATTGTTGAACGGGCCGGGAATCCACAAGCTTGCGACTTTACTAATTGCCCATCTTGATATAAACTGCAGGCCTGCCGCTTTTTTTGCGTGTTTTTAATGGAAATATACGTTTCACACGCAAAAACGCAAAA